CAGGAGTTACGTTCACAAGAGGAACAACAGGAAGCTGAGCGACGGGAGACTGAAACCAAACTTGAAAAAACGAATCTGTCACGTACGTTGAGTGGAGTCTCGACAAAGACGGATATCTCTGTGAGTACAGTGGAGAAAAACTTCTTGGCCAAACAGCCGTTCACTCTCATGGACATCGCGCGGTTGTGTAAGCCTGAAAAGAACTATTTCATTGTTGGATTGATTGGTGCGTGCGTCGGTGGTATCGCGATGCCAGCGTCTGCTCTGTTGATCACGGGAATGATCACGTCGATGACAGAAAAGTACGCAATGTACGAGAACACTGGGGATAGATCCTATTTAAGCGACCTGTACGACAACGTGGAGCTTTACGGCATCTTATACCTCGTTGGGGCTGCTGTGATTGCGATCTTCATGTACATGCAGACCTACTGCTTCAAGTTTATCGAGGAGAAGACTACGACACGTCTACGTAACACGAACTTTGAAGGACTCTGTCGCCAGAACGTCGGGTTCTTCGACGAGAAGGAGAACGCCACAGGTGCGCTGACTGCCGACCTTGCTACAAACGCTACCAAGGTCGCATTGTTGTCGGGTGACTCGCAAGCTCGTGTGTTCCAGGCCATCTTCACGTTGGTCGCAGCATTGGTGATCTCTTTTGGATTTGGTAGCTGGTTGCTATCGCTGATCATGCTGGCCATTATGCCGTTCTTGCTGTTTGGCCATGTGGCTCGAATGAAACAAATGCAAGGCGGTGGTTTAATCTCCGACGACTTGGCTGTACCCGGTGCCCACGCGTCTGAAGTTCTCAGTAATATTCGTACTGTTGCCGCTCTGGGTATCGAGAAGAGATCTGCTGACGTGTTTGATGAATTACTGGAAGAACCGCTCCAGAAAGGTAGCAAGGAAGCACAGATCAATGGCGCGTCACTTGGCTTCAGTTCGTTCATCATGATGGCGACCTACTCACTTATCTTTTGGTATGGTGCCAAGAAGGTGAATGATGGCACGATTGGATTTACGGAGATGATGCGGACTCTCATGGCCATCATGATGTCTGTTCAAATCGTCAGTGGTGCTTCGTCGTTCATGGGTGATGCCCCCAAGGCGTTCAAGGCTGGCTCCACTATCTTCGCGATTCGAGACCGAGTCACTACAATCGACTCGTTTAGTCCGGATGGTCTCCGTTTGGCCAAGGTCGAGGGTCGTCTTGAGTTCAGAGATATCTCGTTCAGATACCCTACTCGTCC